GGTGCCTTATATAGATGCTGCTCCCCCTCTAACAATCCCTGAAGAAGTCTGTGAGCATAACTGATCACATCCAAACATAATCCCCACTCAACGAGGGCTTGCCATCTTTCTCTCCCCCTTCCCTTTCCAATCATGTCATCTGAAATTGCCTTGCTGGTGCACTCATCTCTTTCTATAGCTTTCAGTTCTTAATCTCCTTTAATACTCTGAGCACTAAGTTACGTGCTGCCTTGCTTTGCCTATTCATTTCTTTTTCAAAAGGAAGGACATGGAGATCACGATCATGGTATGTGGGTTGTGTTTTGTTGTTCCTGTAAAGGCAACTCAATTTCTACCGAGTTAGAGGCAGGGAGAGCAAGCTAACCCCAGGTGGGGTTAATTGAGCCAAATCCCCCCAGAGTTGTGGCCCACATCAACTACCATACCAGCTAGGGCAGCTATTTGTTCAGTTATTTACTGCCCAAAGCAGGGCAAAAATAGAGGTAGCTGATAACTAGGGAAGGGCAATGATTGCAAAAGCTAGAATGGCAAAGTGAGACTGAATCATGATTTCTCTTTCCACCCACAGGCTTTTTGCTGGCAGGATAGTGCACCTTCTAAAGCACAAGGAAAATGAGGTTACAAGCCTACCTGATCGCGTGTGGCTCAGACCACTGAAGAAACTGGAAACCCCAAATGAGGGGGGCATGCTGGCTGCCCCAATGAGATGCTCATGACTGATCTTTTGCCCTGGCAATATCATAGCTGTTAACACGGGGCACGTGGGGATGGCAAGGGTCAGTGAAGACAAGCACACGTGAATGAGAGAGAAACAAGCTAGTTGTGGAGCAGCTGAAAATCTTCCCTGTGCCTTGGGCTCTAGCTCCCTATAACCAGGGGCCATCTCCCAATTCTCAGCTTCTTCACTCTGCCAAAGGAGGGAGCATCTCTCTACATTATAGCTTTTCTCACCACATCTCCCGTCCTAGCTACATGCTTCCAGCAGCTACCCAGGTCAGTTAACAGCCACCCAGAGGAGATATTACCACATCACTCTGGAGTGAGTTTTTAACCACTCATTTTCCTATTCTCCTTTTTTCTGTGGTTCCTTTAGCAAGCCCCTAACGAGCTCTCAGGAGGCTTCATTTTCCTTTCAGGCTAGTGAAGCATCCATCCTGGTTTCCAACTTGTTGTTTACAGGAAGCTCAGCTCCCACCAGACAAGCTTCAACTCTACCAGCACAAACCAAAGAAATCAAAAATACCCCAATCTCTCTAGACACAGGAACAGAAACTTCCCATACACAGCAGCCTACCTTCTCCTTACAAGCTACAGCTAAGCCTCAGTCTGCTTCCTCCTTTGGGGTTTTAATGCTCTCAGCAGGCCATTCCCTCTTTTCTAAAAGAGCCAACCCTCCCTGTTGCAAGTCCTTATATTGGGATCTAATTGCCTCCTTGGAGCACCCTCATCAGGGCCACCTGGTTTCTGAGGGGCGCCGGCTGCAGGGGTCAGGCTCATTGGCTGCAGAGTGGGTTGGGCTGAGTATACAAGCCCAGACCCTTACGTTAAGCTCTTGCTGCTCAAAAGTTTCACAGCCTGTAATAGTGATGCCCTCCCCTCTCCTCTGACTCCTAACCACTGCTTTCTTTCTTGTTAGCAGCTCTGCTTTCTACAGCCTCCTGACAGCATCTTCACTATGCATCTCTGGTGTAGTTAGCTGATAAGGTGCAAAGTTGCCTTGCCTTCCTACTAATGGAGCTAATGACCTCTTTCCACCAATTTGTTGGGAACAGAAATTAGATGCACTGGCCTATATTTCCCTGGCTCCTCTCTAGAGCCCTTCTCAGATGAATTACTTTGGCTGCCCTCCAGTCTTGTGGCACTGAAGCTGTTTCTAGGGATAGGTGGCACAGTAAATAATTTCCTGTTTGATCTCAGAGATCCTATAGGTACCCTTTTTGATCAGTGAAGGTATCTACCCTATGCAGACTTGGACATAAGCATACCCTACCAGTACAGTCTGCCCTATCGATCCTGGCCGAATTAAGCACTGGCAATCCTTTAACAAGCAGCAGAGGGGCAACTGAACAGACGGATGCTTGATAGCCATAAAAATGTTATATGCAGACCTCACAACATGTATTTATATGGTGTGCCACACAAACTGAACTATCTTGCATGGAAATGCAGATTCTTTTCTCAGGTTTTCTCACACTAAAGGTTGGTTTCAAGTAAGAATCCACTGGTCTCAGTTTAGCGTTCATTCAAGTTAAGTCATTGAATTGCTTTATTAATGATTTGGATTCAGGAGTAGAGAGTTTACTGATAAATATTTCCACTCGATACAAAAGTAGGAGGTGCAAATAATGTGGAGGATGGGGTTAAAATCTTGACGGGCGATAGGCAACACAATGACACTCAGCAAGGGCGAATGCAAGGAAAAGAGTACCAACAAAGGCAGACCCGGGGGATAAAGGGCTGGGTTGCAGCACTGCCAGAGACAGTCTGGGAGTTATGGTGGATCATGAGATAACTGGTGTGATCCTGGCACAAAAAGAAGCATTTGCACTTTGGGGCTTTATAAACAGGGGCATCATCAGCAAGACAAGTTGACAGAACAAGGAGCAATGATTTTAAGTTGCAGCAAGGGAGGTTTAGGTTGGATAGTGGAAAAAAATTCTCACTAAGAGGGTGGTGAAACATTGAAACAGGTTATCCAGAGAGGTGGCTGGATCTCCATCCTTGCAGGTTTTTAAGACCAAAGCCTTGGCTGGGATGATGTATTTGGGGCTGGTCCTGCTTGGAGCAGGGGGTGGACTAGATCTGACCTCCTGAGCTCCCTTCAGCCCTTATCGTCTGTGATTCTGTGACGGTAACACTCTGCTTGGTGCTGGTTAAGGTCAGCTGGACCATTGTGTCCAGCTCTGGGAACCATCTTTAAAGGAGGATGTGGAGAAACTGGGGGGATTTAGAGGCATGTGACAAAACCTTTTCTATAGGAGTTGCAATGCAAGCTGTATACGGAGAGGTTGAATGAGTAAGTTTGCTTAGTTCTGGGGGAAATGAGACGGGGTGTAGGGCATGTGGTAGCAGGTTTCAGATATTCCAAAGACTGCCATAAAGAACAGTGAGAAAAATAATCCCCTCATGCCAGAGAGGGCAGAAAAAAGATATAGTAGGTTTAAACCCCAGCAAAGAAGACTTGAATTAAGTCTCAGGAAATAGATATCACCCGCCTTTTGCAAATCTCAGGAAAATGTCTTTATTATCAGCACAGTAGGACAATGGCACAGGCTGGCTGGGAAGTTAGGGAAGCTCCTTCGCTGGAGGCTTTCAAGACGAGGTTGTAGAGACATCTACCTGGAATGGTTTAGGAACGAGCAGTCCTGCGTCTCTGGAAGGGGTTCAACTCTGTGACTGTATTCATGAAGTTGTCATCTTCTCCTGCTAGAGAGGAGCCTTTGCTTTGCCTGGGATCTCTCCGCTTCCAGCTGGAGGGATGATGGCGTTGACTCTTTCACAAACATCTTATTCCACCCCAAATATTTCTCCGGGGTTGGAGTTAAGCAGAGGTTGACAACAATCTAACAAAACACACCGCGCACACAACAAAACACAAGTAGCAACAAAAAAAAAGGTTTAAACAACTAAAATAAATCAAACACTTCCTTTTCCTCTCAATGGCTCAGGCTACCTTCTTTGCATGTCCTCAGTCTTGGCATGTCACCAACAAACTTGGTTTGTTTTAAAGAAAACACTTTAAATTGCAAACTCTTTTTTTTTTTTTTTCCAAGAAAGGAAATCAAAATGGAGCTTTGTCCTAGCAAGGCTCTTACAGCTGCTTCACCTGTAAAAAGGGCCCCTAGTCTGTCTAGGTGGCATGCACTAGAGCTCGTTCCACGAAGCTTGCTTTCTTCTTTAGCACCCACCCTGCCAGCGCAGCCATCTCTGCAGGCTCTGGATGTCTCTCTCAGTAACATGAACACTGTGCCAAGGCCTTCCCAATCTGCCCCTGGGGGCAGGTGCCTCTGCATTGCTTTTAATCTTGGGCACAAATGGCTCAATCAGGTTCTTTGATATTTAACCACTTTTTGAATCTAGCTGAATTCCCTTTATTTCACAGAGATGCAAATGTCCACTTTGGACATGTTTACACATGCATTAATATGGTTTAGTTAATGTGCATTAAATCTGGTACAATGTGAGGTCTTAAGAAAATGCTCATTAGCCTGTCTTAATGTGTGTTAACTAAAGAGCATGGAGGGAGGGGGGGTCTATATACGTACTCTAGGGGGGAAGGGAGGTGTTTTAATTAGAGTGGCTCTGAGAGCTGCTCTAATTAAAGCGCCTGCAGGGCCACATGGATTCATTCAACAACTTTAGTTAATGCACACCCACCGCCATTTTGAAATGCGGGGACACTGAATACACGTGATGTGGAGGTTGCTGGAGCACTAATTAGCATGCTCTAGCAGACACGCTCCAAGGTATGCTAATTAGCATGCATCAGAGCAGAGTGCTGTCATATGTATAGGTGCCCTTGGTTTTTAAGTGACGCTTACTATGCATTAGCCTACTTTAATGCGCATTAACTAAATAGCACATTTTTAGTGATACTTTAATGCACTGCATATTAAAGTGCGTGTGTAGATGTGTCCAGGGTGTCCTCTACCATATCAGAGTTTCATAGTTTCACAGTAGATAGGGTTGGAAGGGACCTAAGCAGATCGTCAAGTCCGACCCCCTGCCATGGGCAGAGGTTTTTGGAAGCAGTAGTGCACCCAGGTGATCTATGTGTGTTTATTACTGCTCCATTAACTGCATTTCCTGAAATGCAAAAACGACTTTGGAGACATCCCTAGGGACAGGGGAACTGTAGCAAATCTATTCTATTAGCTTTGACCCCAGAGCCTTGCCTGCTAATTTTTTAACTTAGGAGTTCTGGGGAAAACACAGTTTCCAGATAGCTCAAAATGCAGGTCACCTCCTCAAAACAAAATAAAACCCAATCAAACCCCAAGTCAATTGTTAGCAAAATTGTTTCACATCTCAGCTGGCAAAGACACTTATTAGAAGCTCTTTGGGACACAGCTAATCTCATAGAAATGAATATTCTGCCTTAAGCCTTGTCATATTCCACTCCAGTCAAAGCCTCTAATGACATTTCACAATATCATGCAAATAGCTTAAAGAAGAAGAAAAAAAGAAGGTGGGAAGAAGCAAGAGGCAAACTGTGAAAATCTCTAGTTGTGGGGGAAAAAACCCTTCCTTAACAACGCCGAGAGAAAGCGCCGTGTTCTCTGGTTTGACTTTCTCTCCCACACCAAGCACCATGCTTGGTGGACAATATCTCCGCTAACTCTGTCACATATGTACTTGTGGCCATATTTTCAACCGCTTTTCCCTGGTACAGCCCTAAAGGAACGGCACTCATCCACCCCTATCGACGCCACTGGAGTTACTCTGACTCCTAACCAGCTGAAGATCTCTGCCGTTCGCTGCAATGGAGCGATGCTGATGTTTGCCAGCTGGGCGCCACGTCTGTTCTTCCAGTGAAACGACACTGCTGATACCATCTGGAAAGCTCATCCATCGACTCCAACACAGCAATGCTGGTTTACACCAGCTTACGACCTGATCCATATTTAACTGCAGTAGCCCTGACCCCACGTTGGTAACAACGTGAATGATCATTTGATAACTGGGAGAGAGGTACTCGGGGTAGGAAAGCCTATGGGCTCTAGTTCATAGCAGTGCTGAATACTGGTTTTGTGACTAATATTTCCGCGCAGGTATTAGCTAATCGGTCATTAGGTCAGCACGTCATGAGAGAGGGCCTATAAACCTCCTTTTACAATGAGATAGCTAAAATAGAGAGAAAGGAAGTGACTTGTCCAAGACCACGGTGCGGGTCGGATGCAATGTGGTGCATTGAAAACGCTGGACACCAGAGGAGAGGTTCTCAGAGACCCGCTGAGGCCAGTCTCAAGCACCCTGATGGTGGTCAAAGCTGCTCTGCTGCGGTGGAGAGTCTTCACTGGCATCCATATAGCATCTGCCCAGCATGGTCCAGAACGTCGTTTTTACGTGCGTCCCCAACACCCAGCTGGACTCGCAGGACCGGGGGAGACGAGCCACTGGAGTCAGTCCAGAAAAGAAAAAGTGTTGTAGGAAACGGTTAGTGGCCATCGTCTTTCCCTTTAACGTGGCCTCTCCAAAGCCCCGAGGACAAGTGGGGGAGACACCGACCTGAAGCCCCCATCAGTTAGCTGTAGAAGACAGGCTTGCGGTGTATGCGCACCACGTTGTACGTGTTCAGACCGGGAGCATCAAAGCCAGGAGACAAACCCTTGCGGTCGAAAGGGTAGAAATTAAATAGCTGCCCATCCTGGGTCTCTAGAGAGACGGAGGCAGAGCCCAGGCGCAGGACGCAGGGGAACTCTTTGTCAAAAACCACCTGGAAGACCCGGTCCTCCAGGTGGTGAAGCTTGATGGTCCGGTAGTTTTCAGGGATCAGTTCTTCTATGTGGGGCCCAAACTGCTGCATGACCAGCACCCCGCGAGATCCAGCTTTGATCTCGTAAAAGGTCAAGTTGGAGTACGTGTAGTAGCCCACGTAGGGAGCGGGGCTCGGGGGAGGGTTCAGGCTCTTCTCTGCTTCCCGAAACGCCCTCTCCATGGCAGGGATAAGGGTCTCGTACGTCTGCGTCACGATATCCCCGTCCGGGGGCCTGGGGCCTGCCATCAGAACGATGAAGCTTAAGCGGAGCTTGGGGATGAGGGAAAAGGTCGCCGAATAGCCGTCCAGGTCGCCGTCTTTTCGGACGACGTCATAGCCCAGCTGCTCATTGATCTCCCAGGGGGTGCCGGTCTTGTTGGCGAAGTATTCACTCGAGCATTTAAAAAGAGGTGTCAGCATCATCTTCACAGTATCAGGCTCTAAGAGGTGTCGGTGGTAGGTGCCTAGGAAAACCATCGCCAGCTTGGCAAGGTCAGCGGCTGTGGAGTACATCTGGCCGGAGGGTCGGTACCAGCCCAGGTCGTACAGGGGCGCTGGCTGCCCGCTGCTGTAGAAGCCCACTGCCATTTGGGAACGGATGGGCGGTGTGATGTCAAAGCCGGTGTCCTCCATGCCCAAGCGATCCAAGATATTCTCCGAAACCCAGCGCTGGTATTCCCCCGCAGCAGCGTGATCAGCCAACACGTGGGCCATCAGTGAGAAAGCCAAGTTACTGTAATGGCATCTGCAAAGAGAGAGACATGCATCTCAGTGTCATCCTTCAATAGGACTGCAAGAGCCCTGGCCTTCGCTGCGGTTACAGACATGTTATAAATGCCGTCAATGCCCCAGGCAATCAGGACTCATAGTAGAGAGGATATCTTTTATTAGACCAACAAGATTTTTGCAAAAAAAAAATTCTTTAATTGCAAGCTTTTGGGCACAAACACCCTTCACCTGGACACCTGACACATGGAAGTCAATGGCCCTGTTTTTTCATGAACAGAAAGTGTCATGTACCCTAATGGACTCTAGGAACGGAGATATCCCAAACCTGCTCTTTTGTGACCTGGAGCCACTTCCAAAACAATCAGAAAAGGGGAATGAAGAAGGGATGGAGAAAAGGAGAGAGTTTTTTCCTGTTTTGTGACTCAGGAGTCTCGGCGAGTCAGGGAGCACAGCGGGTGAGCTGCAACAGCACCGTTAACACCGCCCGTCTGCATTACCTTCAGGTATATTAAAACACACTTAAGAGGCAGGGACTGAGGGGGTGAAAAATACTACGAAGAATACGTGCCAAAGGCATCGTCTCCAGAACCTTATTCACCATGCCTTATATTTAGTAGCAATACATTTTTTTGTGTTAATTATCTTTTCTATGATAGCAATCAGGTTTGGGCTGAAGGCCTGCACGACAGCAGGCCCAGAAAGTCCCAGTTAAGCGGTTTTGTAGGCTTAAGCACTTAAAGCATCTTAAGGTGTGAGAAGCTCTTAAACCAGTTTACGCCTGCAAGGTAGCATCAAGCTTTGAGGTCGTGTCACATCCTTAAGAAGCGTAAGTCCATGAACCATTAAGTCCATGAGATCCTTTAAGTTGTTAAAATGTCCCGGTGTTTATGGACCCAAAGCAGCGTGCCGGGCGTGCACACTTTGGCCCGTTCCACGGAATAGGTGCACACGTGGACTTGGTGTGATTCTCTTCTGCGCTGCTGGACTCCTTGACAAACCACTACAACAAAAGATGCATGGACCTTCCTCTTCCTCCTCGCTGCTTTTGGTCACTCAGTCTTTAGATAAGACAATGGTGTGTTCAAAAGTAGATGTGTTAACAGACTTTCAGAGGCTTGGATCAGGAGAAATAGATTCTGGCCCCATAAGTGCTTCAGTGATGAGTGCCACAGTCAAGCCTGCATAGATTACGGGTCCCTCTGCTCCTAAAATATATTAATAATCACCTAGTAAACCTTCCTGAATAATACAGACCACCATTTTACCCGTTTTTCCTGCATCAAGCCCATAACTTCTAGCTGAAACGGAGCAGACTTTTGGGAACCAAATGGACAAAGTTTATTTAAAGCCTGTTCATGACAGAGCACATGCCTAAGCAAACTGCTCTCGTACTAAATTAAAACATCTGAAAAGTTTGTAATTTAGTCCCACTTAGTTGGAATATGTCTAGCTTCAGCTTCCAAACACTGGATCTTGCTCTGCTTGTGCCTTCTAAATTGTCAACAGGCAGCTTAAATTCTGACATTTTCTGAGTGCTTGACTTTGAAGCCTAGACAGCATGCTTATAACATCATTTTTAATCATGATAAATATTTATAGCTTCTATTGACAATAAGAATTGGCCAGATTTTCAAAGGTATGCAGTTCCCTAATTAAGCTGAAAGCTGCCCAGTAGGATTTTCAGAAGTAGCTAAGGAGGAAGAATTTAACTAGTTCATTCCCGGTCTTGGAAGGACCGAGCTGGGATTTACGTCCTTGCGAAAACACAGGTTTTGGAAGGGATGGTTTCTTACCTTTACCCTTCATCACTTTAAAAAGTCACTTCCCCCTGCCTGCGGGAACTGAAATAAATAGGCTGAGCCTGCTTAGGCATTTTGGGAAGTCAGTGTCTTTAAGATCCATTTGAAAATCTGGGCCAACGACTCTATTATCATGTCACGTATTTAGCAGACAAACACGTTGTCTTTCTGTATTGGATCACCGTGATCTCAACGTGTCCCTTCCCCACTGCAGAGGTAGTTTCTGTCATGTCTTTTTGCCTTGATGCAGCTATTTGTAATGCTGGCACTGATTCCTTAGCCGTTGAACAGCGCTGCAGTCACCCGAAGGAGAAGCCTGCCCCTCGAGAGAAATGTAAATGTTGCATTTATCTGACCTGGTTCCTGGATCAGCCACCAAAACGTCATCCTTCAGGAGAGCAAGTGCTTCTTGTGTGCTTCCCTTCCACAGCAGGCTAGTGGACCGGAGCCTCCTAGGCAGTCCTGTGCAATGGGAACAAGCGGGTATCAACACCGAGAGATACCTACTGACTTATGTGAGGGGAAACATTTGGACACGGTCACTGAGCCAGTGCAATAATGAGCTGAGAGTGAAGACTCGAGTGCCCGTGGAGACAGCCGTGATTATTGCACGGTGTATAAAAGGCACGGCAAATGTGCTGCGGAAACACACTGGGTCCAGAACAGTGCTCCAGGCAATAATAGGAAAAGGCAAATCAGCCTGTATTAACAAGGCCTGTGTGACCCCATCAAGGTCCTTGACTGGCCTCAGTGGGCCTGTGAGAAGCTCCTGTGCCTCCTGGGCAGTGGCTGTTCTGGGATCCAGGGGTGCATGTCCTAAGCAGGGAAGCTGAACCGCTGCCCAGAATAGCAGCAGTGGCATTTCTATTCAGGCAGTGCTGAGGGAGTCAGTTGACTTCATGCCTTATTATCATCTAATATGTGGATCCAAAAAGCCCTGCTACTGATCTGTATGCCATCCTCCTCCATGCTCCCAACTGCCCTAGGTACCACAGGAGAATCAATACTGTGCTGTCACAGGTCACTTGAGGGACACAGGAACTGGTGCGTATTCTTGTGCTTGTGGGGTTTAAACAATAAAACGCTGGGGTGTGGGACCTGGCTCTTCCCTCTTGTATCAGTAGCCAACCTACTAGTACATCTACACTACTGGTAGCAATGCAGACTCTTGCTTTAAAAGAAAAAAATACTCCGACAAGAAGCAGCCAAGAAGAGACAGGCAGCAGCTCCTACCGTGGCCGCGGCTTGCTCAGTCAATAGGCAGCATCTAGCATGAGAGAGGCCTCCTTTTGGTCACCTGTTCTTGGACTTGCTGGGAAAAGATCACAGAGATGCTAGTGCAACTGCAGAAATCTGCAGGACGAGCATCAGGACGGGACTATGTTAACTTGCAAATGCCGAACAGGGGCTTTTGCGTTCCTCTAGTGTGATCTGTCCTCACTGGGGAAAGGGAGTTTGGCTCTTTTAACTGGGGCCTTGAACCCATTTGGAGGCTCTGATGAGGTCTGCGGAGGTGGAAGCGGAGGAGTTTTGTCACCTGAGAGCTGGCTGGCCATTCTGCGCAGGGTGACAGGTGACGGCTTGAGAGGCAGCGACCCCTTCTCCAGAAAGATCAGCCCGTCGGCCGTGTATCTTTGTTCAGCTTCCTTTAGGCGCCCCAGGGGATTTTTGATAACGAAGCCCTGAGCGTAACGCTCCAGAGGGTCATCCAAAGACGTTACCTTTCCTTCTTCCCACAGTCGGTACAGCATGATCGTGGGGAAGACTTTGGAGATGCTGGCAATCCTGTTATGACACAAACAGCGACGCGGGTCACCTCCAGCAGCTCTTCCAGCATTAACGAGTCCCTGGTCCAAGGTCTTTCAAGCTACCGTGTCATGCCAAATACTTCCTACACAGCTACAGTGATACAGCACTGCTGATAAAACACATTTCCAAATATTTGTTCTGTTGTTAAATTAAATCCATTTATTTCCCAAGCCCCAAAACACTGATCTTCACTGGAGACTATGTCCATGCCACATTTCTGACTTCAGAGTTTTGCTCTACTTTGATCTGAAAATGCCAACTAGATTTTTCTGCAAGGGGGAAATCACATTTCTTTTCACTCTTACAGACTTGAAGAACAGTTGATGTTGCTTGAATTAAAAAAAAAAGTTAGAAAAACTTGACCTCATTCTGATAAAAACCCTTCAAAATCTCCTCCTAAAAGGTAAATGCTTCCATTTGCAATCCTTGTGCAATAATTTGGGGAGATAACAAACGCTACTGTCCAGGTCTACATTTGCATAACCACACACTGTGCTTTTTTAAAATCAAAAAAGGCTCACGGCAACACCAGTTGTGACAGCAGACTCTTTTCTTATTGTAGCTGAAGGCAGGGCAGGAAGAGAGAAGGATTTATGGGAGCTCTCTCATTGTGACTGACCTAGATTTGCACGGGTAATTGAGGGGCGAAGTGTGCACATCCCATTCTTTTCCACTGAGGGCACTGGTACAGACGTGGTCCTCTAACCCATTGGCTAGTTCTGGGGTACAAGAAAATCCCTCTTGCAAAGGAACCTGCTGTCTCACCTGTAAATGGTATACTCGTTAGGCATTGCTGAGAAGGAGTTAGAGCCATTTTTCTTCCCAAAGTTACCGGTCCAGAGCACAGTGTCATTGTAGATAACGATGGCAGACATGGTGGAGAGGCCTGGGCTATGGATTTTGTTGCGCAGCAGCGTGTCCACCTGGGTGATAATGAGAAAATGGCAATGAGTTTGCTACCAGGCTGACAGGAGAACAGAGAGATGCCTCCGTACCATAGCAAAGCCGTGGCTGGGATGATGTAGTCGGGGCTGGTCCCGCTTGGAGCAGGGGCTTGGACTAGATGTGACCTCCTGAGCTCCCTTCCACCCTCGCTGTCTGTGATTCTATGATTCTGTAGTGTATTGGTGCAAAATGGGAGACATGCCCCATATTTACTGCCGAGCAAATAGCATCCTGCCCTCAGCTTCATCAACATCTTTCAACCAAACATTTTTGACCGATGATCCACCTCAGCTGGTGCCCATCACTTAAACTTCATCCAGCAAACATCAGACGTGGCTACTGCTACTCTTGTGTCTCCTATAGACAACCTTCATCTCTTTCACACCACTTACGTACAGGAAAGTAGGTGGGGAAGCCTGTCAGAAACAAGGTCCTGGGTGCTTGCCAAGATGAATGGACCTCAAGGCACATCCTACCCCACTAACTCCCCGGCTGCAGAGTCATTAACTATGAAAGTGCCCAACCCGTATCCCCACGCTCACCCAATCCCTCCCGCATCCCTCTGTTGTCTCTGAAATAACAACGTGCTCTGAAAACACAAACGCACTTGCCCATGCTACGACTCCCTCAATACCAGCAGGGTTCGGCCAAGTGCGAACTGTCCATAAACTTAGCTCATGCCATCTGACATGCACGGTATGAAGGGAACATACCAGAATTTCAGCCATCGCTGAAACCTCAGACCTGATAAACCTGGCCATGAAAATAACTACCCTGCTGTCAGAAGGGTAAATCTTCTTTTCAGAAACTTTGTGGGAGCTTGTGAAATTCAGGCAGGATGACAGGAGGAACTTTAAGGGCTAGATATGTAATTAGGAATGGGAATTATTGCAGAAGAGCACACCGAGCTCCTGAAGTTTCTGGAGGCCCTTTGTTCTCCAGGGTCCTGCTAGGTTCATCCCTGAGTGCTTTCTTCTGAAGCTCTTGCATTACTGGGAGGGTCTCGGGCAGGCACATGTGGATTGTGGCAATAATTGAGCTGGATGTTGTTATCTTTGTACTAACCCAGAGGATGACCAAGACTATGGAAGGGGTTGTGGTGAAGGTGGCTTTAAGGGCATAGGATTGGGAGAGACCACACAGCGCATCAATGTGAGAGGCAATCATGTAATACATGTTAAATGTAAAAGTATTTAAAGAATGTCTGTTCTGACGCCCCTCACATGCCACAGCTGCAAAGCGTCCCCCGACACCTCGCAATGGATCTTTGGTACAAAAAACCTAAAGGTCTCAAAAACTATGACTTGCCAGAGGAGGAGACCTAGGGAGATGGAGGTCATCACCCGTGTCCTGGGCTCCTGCAGGGGCAGGACATGTGGAAAATGAAACGTGCCCAGATGATTCTAGGAAGTGAAATACGTCCTGCGGTACAAAGGGAGGCAACCTCCCCCCTGGCAGAAAACACGAACTAAAACCAAAGGTCCTTGCCAACATGACCTCTCCACTCTGCATGCCTAGCAAGGATGCTAGGATCATGCCCCATATTGTAGATGCGGGCTTGCTAATGGGCATCCAAGTCGCGGCTGGTATCAATTCCTCCCTGTGCCTTGGCTGACACGTCCTGCAACTGCCTCGGTGTTTGCACAGCCACAGCACGTCGCTGGCTCATCGTCGTTCTACGACGGGCTAAGATGTTGAGATTCCTCCTGTCCTACAGCCCACGAGCAAGCAGCTTGTATCCCAAGCTCTTGGTATCAGTCTTAGTGCACGGCTTCTAAATGTTGTACCGTGTTATTACTGCAGCTCGCAAAGTTATCTGTCTTGTGTGTCAATCTCATCCTCCGCAGCGTTCATAATAACCCCCAACTTTGTGTCACCTACAGTTTTCATCATCACGAACCTGGTTCTTGCATAAAGGCCATTAATGACATTAGCAATCAAGGCTCATGGTACAGGTGAGATCTTCTATTAGATCAACAAGATCTTTGCAAAAACATTTCTTTAATTTTTTGCAAAAATCCTGTTGGTCTAATAAAAGATATCACCTCAACCATGACCCCTGATTGCTTTTTCCTTTAGATCAATACGGCTACAATCTGGATACCTGATTAATGAAATTAGTGATCCTTGAGAAACACCACCAGAAACCGTTCTCCGGTCTCATGGCTCCCTGTCAGCGTAGCCCACTGGAGTTTCCCCTGGAGCCACCTTATTATTATTTGACTTCCAATTTTAGTATTAATCCCCAACTTCTCCACTGTAGGTAGCAATTTCCTGCAAGGTGCAGTATCAAATGATTTACTGAAATTTTTGAAGATAATGATTTTATTGTAGAAAGATATTAAGTTATCCAGTCTTTTATAAATAGAGCCACATTTCATTTTCCACCATGTTCTATCTACCTCCACATCTTAATTAGTCTTTCCTTAACGGTCTGTTCTACGGCCTTACGTAGTACTGAAGGCAAAGCAACAGGACTGCAGCTGCTCAGTTCTCTCTGTTTTCCTACAGTCACAGTACAGAGGACCATGCAGTAAGGAAGTGTCTGCACCTAGGAATAAGGCGCCGGGTGGAATTAAAAATATGCAGCCCCTCCATCCTATCCCCACAAACCTTCTCCAGTGCATCCTTCAGGATGGGGATCGGGTGATCCAGCGGTACTGGCTCTGGATAGCGGGGGCACATTTGCACCGCTTCTGACCTCCCCTCCATTCCAGATGGACCTGGGAATAATTCAAGAGAGGCGGCTGGCTGACTGGGTCGTGCTTTCCACACTTTGTTAGATGCTTCTCTTTCCTTGCCCTGACTAGCTGAGAAAGGAGACTGCGCAATGAGATATGAATGTTGAGAAATAGGGATATATGGGGAGGAAAGGGCTACGCTGACTGCTTTCCATTTGTTAGCTAGGTCCGTGCAGAGCCCCTCCAAAATACTGTAGAGCTCAATCCTGGGGAGGTGACACAGGCAGAAAACCCTTCATGTGAACATCACCAAAATCCTAGGCTTCGCTTCCAAACGGTGCAGAGCCCGACTGATCCGTACTCACCGGGCTCCACTTTGGGGAGGCTGTACTGCCACAAGAAGCAGCCGGTCATGGCAACAGAGAGCAGGAAAAAGAAGATCAGCGTCACATGGATCCACTTCACTTCCATCCGAGGCAGCTTGAGGAGGCCCCGGCTGCTGGAGGTCTGCTGCAAACAGAAGAGACGCGTGGTTTCAGTACGACCGAGACAGAAAGAAGAGAGAGAAAGGAAATTGCTTCCCACGTGTGCCAAGTGGACATATTATTCCACGTAGCGTGTTGTTAACTAGAAGCTGTGGCAGGCAGATGGACCCGGAATGAGCTGTGGGGTTTTTATTCTGTGCTCGATAAGAGTCTGATTTGGTTTTACTATGAGCTGCTGTACAGGTTACAAACCAGACTTTCATGAAGCTCCCAGCACTGCTGCACCAGGAAATTAATCCGGAGCAGTGCCATGGAATATAGATGCGCA